CATATTAGGCCACAGTCCTGACAGCACAGCTCATTAGCATCTTAGGCCACACACCCATGTTACCAGAAGTGTGGTCATCCAGCCATGTCCACCTTTTGCTTCTTATTCTGTTGACCTTGTTTGTGGTCAAAACCCAGGGCCTTTTTTTGTAGCAGGAGCTCCTTTGCATGTTAGGCCACACACGCCTACTGTAGCCAATCCTAATGCGTTTCTGATGTTGGGTGTGGCCTATTATGCTAATGAGCTCCTGCTTGGCGTGGCCAACTTGTGAGCCAGCCGGAACTCCGTTCCTGCGCGTTCCTGCCCAAAAATAGCCCTATATTTAACAGCCTTTAATTGGGGCCCCCCCCCCCGATTTCCAAGGCAGTTTACGAAGGCAGGTGTGAACTGCAATGCATGAACATATCAAAACATATGTAAAAAAATTTAAATATACAAAAGTGCTGTAAGATGTCTCTGCTGCATGGGCTTAGCTGCCCAGATTTTGTTGAGTTGCCCTCAGAATCCTCCATGAACAGAAAGGCTTTATAGTGTCTTCAGAACTGGACCAGAGTGGGCCTCTCCCTCACCTCCTCTGGGTGTCTGTTGCAAAAAACAGGCAGTATAACTGAGAAGTACCACAACTCAAGCTGTAGCAGATCTAATGGACTTCAGGGATAAAAAGCACTGTGAGAATCTATGTCAGTGCATGGCTCAGTCCAGGAGAGATGGTCCAAGTTTGTGGGTCCCAAGCTGTGTATGGCTTTATAGTTAAGAAGCAGCGCCTTAAATTTGCCCCAGAAGCAAATAGACGGTCATTGTAGATTATAGAATTGAGGCAATACATTCAAACCTCCAAGCTCTAGATAATAGTGAAGCACTTGCATTTTGCACCAGTTGAAGCTTCTGAATAGTCTTCAAGGGCAGCTCCAAGCAGAGTACATTACTGTAGTCTAGTTTAGAAGATAAAATACCAAACAAGGATGAGCCTAGGTCTTGTTGAGGAGTTTCCTCCTCCCTTTGCATGCCACAGTGTAGTTAGTTGTTTCTGGGTGTGCAACAAACCAGGTGTCCAGTCAAGAAATAATGGTTTGTACTGGCCCTAAACCACACTTAGATCCTGGCTGGGAATGCTGGTTTCCAGGCAAGCACAAGCCACAGATAGACTGCCGCACAAGAGGGAAGGAGGAAGGGTGCAAGCAAGCTCCAGGCTCCTTTAGAGCTTGTTCACATAACAGCAAAGCTAAAATTTAGCAATTTATCTGACCCAACCCACTGTTAGAAAGCATCTAGTGGGCATACCCCATGTTGGAATCTTGCTTGATACAGAACATAATCATCAAAGGAATACGCACTTTCACCTCCTGGCAACCAGTTTAGCAGGTAAATCCGTGCTTTTGATCAGCTAAAATCCCTCTAATGTCCTGAATTAATTCCGAAAGTGCTCCCTGAGTCTTTCTGCAGGAGGCAAGTTGCTGAACTCTATTTACAAACTAAGGTTGACCTGCCAAGCTGTAGCCCAATGATAGGAAGAAAACAAGATCCAACATAACAGAGTTTGCAGCGGAGTTCAGCCAAAACAAACAAGCTCTCTATTAACCCAATATGCCGGTAATATGCTAAAGCCACCGTGTTTCTGCTGGGCGGGCATCTTGATCTTTTCGCAGAATGCCATAAAAATAGTTCAGGGACGAAAAACTATCGATTTTATTCCAAGTATCCAAATATTTGGGGAGAAGAAAGTGGCTCCAGTTTGCAAACATTTGCTCTGATGTTAGGGAACTCGGATGCTTCTGCTCTGCAAGAAGTTTTACAGGCGGTCTGGATTTTTCTTTTCTTTTTTTTGATGGTAAGGTGAACTGATAAACATTCTATTTTTTATATTTTTAAAAAGTATCTGCACGTGTGTGTGCATGTGAGTGTGTGCGCACCTGGAAGTCATGGCGACCTCTGGTGACTGAACCCTACAGGGGGCCTGGAGGCTATTCAGAGAGGTGGCTGAATAAAGTCTGCACCTGCCTCCTGCCTCTGGTATTCCAAGGAGGTCTCTCATCCAAGTACTTGCCAGGGTGGGCTCTGCTTAGCTTCCGAGATCTGACAAGATCGGGCTTGCCTGGGCTATCCAGGTCAGGGCCTGATACCCATTCTAAAGAGGCCGGACCTTAGATGAGTGTTTCTAGGCCAAACCAAATACCCTGTTGCTTTCCCCCTTGGCAGTTGGGATGCCAAAGGATAGCGGAAAAGCAGAACTGTGACATGGTGTGCAGGTAGCAGCCTGGGAATTGGGTGTGACCATCAGCCACTTGGTGTCAGATTGTCAGAAATCCCTTATGAACTCCAAGCAGTGGGTGCCACTTTTAAAAGATCCTTGTTCCATACACTGACCTGTAGATGTGCGGCAGTTCTTCTCCCAATTGCCAGTCCCCGGATATTTATTCTACTGTATTTGTTGGGTGTGTTTGCGTTGTTTTCTAATTTGGTAATGTAGATATTTTTTTTCCTGTTTGCAATTTTTTTAGTATGGATTGCCTTGTTTTTATTGTATTCGTATACTGTTTCTGTATATGTATACTGTATCTAGTGCATTGTCTTCTAATACGGTAGCATGCTTTGAATCTCAACAAGAAAGGTAGACTATAAATGAAGTAAATGAATCAGTACGGGCTTATACTGGCAGTGGTGGAAAGTGCCGTCAAGTCACAGTTCTTATGGCGACCCCTGGTGGGGTTTTCAAGGCAAGAGATGTTCAGAGGTGCTTTGCCATTGCCTGACTCTGCATCATGACCCTGGTATTCCTTGGAGGTCTTCAATCCAAAATACTAGCTAGGACAGACCCTGTTGAGCTTCCAAGATCTGACAAGATTGGGCTGGCATGGGCTATCCGGGTCAGGGCTGGGACCTATATTACCTATTTTTTTAAAAAAGAAGGTTTCTTCCACATAGAGAGAGAATCATAGAGTTGGACCTCCAGGGTCATCTAGTCCAACCCCCTGTACAGTACAGGAAATTCACAAATAGTAAGGGAGAAGGGCAGTAGCCTCGCTTTCTCTTTGCTACCCTAGATTCCCGTAGGCGAGGTAAAGTTTGTATATAGGACCATTTGTCCATGTGAGTCCACAAAAGTAATTGGACTTGGCACAGTGCAGACCTGGGTTTACTACCTCCGCAGTGGCCAAATTAGACATGAAGCAGAAAATTCATGAATGGACCAGGTAAACAGCATTGGAAAAGATAAGGATTCGGGGCATGGTGCAGCCAGAGAGTGGGCTGATTTTACACCTTGAAACTGAAGCGTCCCAATATTATTAGCCTAGAAGGTTAAAAAGAAAGAAATGCTTTTCTTTCTCTCCCCCCCCCCCCTTCCTCAGCTGTTAATAGTCCAGGAAAAGAAGTTGATTGGTGAAACTGTATTTGGAAAAGTGTTGAGTCCCCTCTTTCTCTGCATCACCGTCCTAGTTTGAATCAGGGCATTCCATGGCTGCTGTTTCCATTTAGAACCTGCCAAGGAGATCTCTGTATAGATCTCCCAGCATCTTTTCTAGTTGGACTCTGTAAACAGTCTCTCAGAGGAGCAAGGAGAAGGCATCTTTTCAGGACTGAAGCTATAGTCATGTGAACAGTACCAAGTGAAGTCATGTCCTTCTCTGTAGGATCTTCATTCAGGAGACCTGCTTGCCTCTCATTCATGTACTCCTCATGTACAGGACAGGAGTACAGGACACATTGCGTCCCCATGATAAGGCTCCCACTTGTTGTAGTCCCATGGTGGTATCCCAGAATCCTCCTCTGCTGTGCTTTCTAGCAGTGGAAATTTTCTCCCTTCTTTTGGCGGCGTCACAGGAAAATAAATAGTATGGCCCAACACCAGTAATAATCACATGGACAGAAAAGTTCAGCAGTTATCGTTATGCACAGCTTTTGAAAGAGCATTTCTTACTCATGGTAGATTCTGTCCGCCTGTTCACGTCACACTGCTTGTGTCAAGGCAATCTCCTCGTCTGCTGTAAGTTATCTTCTCATTAGTGGTTGCTGAGTAGAAGACCACTGCATGGTGAATCACTGTGTGATGAAGGCTTTAGGTTTACAGAGATACAGGGTGCTTTTGAACTATTATTGGGGATTTGGGGCTCAGGGGCTCACCCCAGCTAGTTGTTACAGATAAGAAACCAACAGTTGCAAGGGAGTACTCCTTGTAGAAATGGTCTCCTTCCCTGTCATTAATACAATTATTTCTCCCTTTCCCTGATGACTGGAACCCGCAAAAGGACATTGGGGGTGGGCGGGAGGGATGTAACAGCCTCTTCCTCAGGCCCTTGGCTTGCACAGTTTCTGATTCCCAGTTGCAGTCATCAGATGAATAATGGGAAGACCGCCTATCTGTATGTTTTGCGCAGTTGGTTTATTCTGTGATTACACTTGTTAATGTTCCATGTGACGATGCCACAACTGTTATTGTGATTGCTTGATTGCGGGATGCTCTTATCGCCAACGTACTTTGTTTTGTTTCTGCCCTGCAAGCCTCTTTCTAGTGCCCAGCTGATAAGAGAGAGCTCTTATCAAGGGCTTCAGACAACCAATCAAGTGATCATTTCTAGTTGGTAGTTTGGTACACATGTCGTCCTAGATTGATGTCGTAGTGTGGGAACCAACAGTTAAATTGTCGCCCCATCTTGTCTTGGTGTCATTTTGTACAAGTTGACGGTATGTTTCATTTGTAAATCAGTATTAAAGACACACACACTCCTTTGCTCCTTCTTTGTAATCTTGTTTGCTCATAATGCGCTCAATCCAGATCCTCACATCTTTAAAGTCTTGGTGTTCTCTTCTGTGGAAGGGAAGTGCACATTTCAGGGATGCTGTAACTGAGCATCTTTCCCCGCTCTATGAGGTTGTCAACACAACCTTATTTCATCCTTAGTATCATTTTTCATTCTAACCTCAAATGATGTGGTATGAATTAGCTTGCAAATGAAGAACAAAAGCTTGCATACTAACAGCAAACATTTCTTATTTGTTTTCAGCTCTCAAGAGGATGAGAGGCCTATGTCACCCTTCTATCTGAGGTATTGCTTTATTTTATATTCTTTGGGGAGGGGTTGATTTGTGAGAAACCATGAAGATGACAATTACTGGTCATTTTTATGTCTGTTTCCCAGCAAATTTGGGACTCTGTCTCAATGGCAGAACACCTGCCTTGCATGTAGGGAAGTCTTTGCTCCAGTCCCTGGCATCTCCCGCCACAAGGACCTCAGGATTTGGGAAAGGTTTTCTGTCTGAAAACATGAATAGCTATTGCTGGTCAGAATAGACAGTATTGATCTAGATGACAACGGTTTGATTTGATATAAAGCAGCTTCATATCCATGTTTATAAGCAAATCCTGAAAGCAGTTAGTGTATTGATCAAATCAAGCCTGAACTCTCCGTAGAAGCTCAGATAACTAAACAGAGGCGATCAGACTTTGGCCAAACCATGAGAAGATGAGACTCACTAGAAAAGACAATAATGCTAGGAAAAGTCAAAGGCAGTAGGAGAAGAGTTCACATGATATGGATTGACTCAATAAAGGAAGCCAGAAAAGTCAGAAGCGGCTTGACTACGTGTAATACACAGGGTATTGAATTAGGACTGGGCTTGATCTTTGTAACCCTTTAATGCAGATCCTGGTTATCTTACTGAGCTGTATTGCATTCTCTCTGGTTACTTTTTGTCAGCTTAATTTTTTTGGCTGCTCAGTGTAAACACACACGAAGCTGGCCGTGGGTCTCCAGGAAACAGCCCCTCCCCTTATAATGAACACACGAAGCTGCCTGATACTGACTCAGACCATTGGTCTGTCAAGGCCAGTATTATCTACTCCAGAGGTTCCCAACCTTTTTGAGCCTGTGGGCACCTTTGGAACTCTGACACTGTGCTGGTTACAGCCACAAAATGGCTGCCACGGGAGGAGGAGCCAGCCACAAAATGGCTGCTGTGGCTGACCTTCAAAAACCAAAGCAAAGCTGTGTAAAGAAGGAAAGACACTCGGCATAGCTAGAAGCTAATATTTTTCATAAATGCAAAAATACTTTACATCGGTAGATAAATCAAATAGATAATGCAGGTAAGTCAAACAGGTACAAGTCAAACAGGTGCAAATGGATCAGTCAGTCATGCAGGTGCAGGTAACGAAGAATCCGGATATTAATAACTTCATTTCGAGGATCTTCTTCAGTAATGACTATTACAAGTTTTCATGAATACAATTTCCAAGAAGGTCTGAGGTAAAGATATCCTAACACGAATTTCCCAAAAGCGAGTACATAACTTTTATAGATGGGCAACCAATCTCAAATTTCTATAGGAAAATAACTTCAATTGATTTCTGTCTGCTGGTATTTCCTCGACTGTAGCTGACCTTCAGTCACACAGTGAAGATCCTTGTGCCGGGAAAGGTGTTAGCAGGTGCCATGGCACCTTGTTGGAGACCTCTGTTCTGCTCTGACTGGCAGCAGCTCTTCAGGGGTCTTAGGTAGAGGTGTTCTACATCACCTGATCCTTTTAACTGGAAATGCCAGTGATTGATCCTGAGACTTTCTTCATGCAAAGCAGGTCCTCTTACACACAAAAACCTGGCCCTGCTCCAATGTGGCAAACCAGGAGGCAGTCTTGAGCTGGTTTGCCGAGGGGAGTTAACTTGGCTGATGAGATGGATACAGGCTGGTGAACACTGGTGCCTCACCACTGCAAAGGTCGGAGCAAGAGGCAAGTGTTCTTCCTGCCGTTTTACCTTCCCTGCCTTCACGTAGAAGTCAGAGTGGCTGGCCGATCCGTGCCCAAGACTAACCCTTTTTCTTTTGTTCACGCTTTTTCCCTGCCAGCGCAGCTTGCCTTGAAGTCAACTTTTTGGTGTGATATAACAGCTGCGCAATGCCTGTAAACACACGGAGGATATGGGTAGTGTCTTTTATACAGTACAAGAAGTTCAGTGATTGGGAGCAGACAGTTATGTAACAGGAGCTGTCTAGAGTCCAACAACCACACAATGCTTGATGCTTGCCAAGCAGCAGGAACTTTATGTGTGTTCTTTTTTTTTTTTTAATCAGTCCTGCAAATGTTGTAAAGATATTTTTTAATGAGTGCAGTGGCAGGCATTTGGTTTTCTTCCTTCCTTCTCCAGTTCCATTTCAGCAAAGGGATACAACCAATGTTCCCTCTAAGCTGTGGAGTCTTGTGAGCAGAAATTCTACCTTGTGAGCTACTGGCATTAAAAGTTGTGAGTGAGTGATTTGGCTATTGTATATATTAGTTTGCTCTGGAGCCCTCCTCCCTGAGCTAAGACAAAAATCTGTGCGCTGGAGGCTAAAAAGCTGTGAGCTGGCTCACACTAACTCAGCTTAGAGGGAACACTGGATGCAACCCAAGGAGTGTGCAGAGCTGGAATGAGTAAATCTTCTGCCACCTTAGAAAAAAGACTCTTTCAACCAAGGCAGTCTGAAATACCTGAATATTTACATTCACGTAGTGTGGGCACCTTCCTGCACCCATTTCTGTTACAGTCCTATTTAGGTTTCAGTGCAGGTAGGAACTTGCCTGGTCCACCTTGAACAAGTTGCAGCTCCTTCATCTGCAAAAATCAAAATATACCTAGAGGCTTGCAGCCAAGGATTTTGGCTTGCTGTTTTAAAATCAATGCCCGTGAATGCCCCTGTAGAAATCCTCCCTTCCCCCCCCCTCCACTTTCCCTTGAATCTGGTCTAGACAGGAAGAAGAATGAGGTGGAAATGAGGGGGTGGAGCGCTGAAGTGGTAGGATGGACTGCACCACTTTAGATGGCAGGAGAGGGATTGTGTGTTTTCAACATTCTCTACATTAACAACTCTCCGTAGGTGAAAAACTAGCACAGCATGTGAAGGACTTAGGCTGGAATCCTTTTTTCTGACATGCTGGATGGTGTTCTTTTAATTTGCAGGGAGTTTTTACATGGGAGGGAGCATTGATGGTACAGTCTCCTCACCTGTCACCTGAGGTGGTACAACCCATTTTGCAAATGCTACTGCTTCCTTCATGTGTAGACGAGGCCTCAGATTCCAACCCTAGCTTGACCCAAGGCAGGGGCTCCCAATCTCAATTTCTGAATGGATGGTATTACAAAATATGCCATCTAGTGTTCTTCCGTGGGTACTTTGTCATTGACTTCAGTAGAATGGCGATGGTACCATAAGATAATGATTTGAATTTATGAAATGAGGGAAGAATTGCAGTCAGAAGGACTGATCTAATTTTTGGTTGTGTACATTTCTCCTAAACTGTACTAAAGCAAAAGGAAGATGTTCCTAATTTTATTTCCTAGGAATACGGGCCCAAAGAATGTTCTGTGCCTTGTTCCCTGTTATTGTTAGGTGTGAAGTTGTTAGATAAGTAGGGTGTACCTCAGAAAGCTGGAAACAACCAGCCTCTGAGTATGGATGCTTTGTAAAATGATCTGTTAGACATGAAAGAAAGTCATGTTCTGTGCTGGACTTTATAGAAAGGATGTTTTTTAGGGACAAGAGAGAAAGATGTTGGCAGGAAATACCTGTACATGTCTCAGAGAAAAGACCGAATTTCGGTTTTCCATCAGTTACCAACGTAGTCTAGGTGGCTTTTGAATGAAAAGGTGGCTTTTCATTTTTAAAAATCTTAAATCAATAAATAGAAAAAGAACAGGCACATTATGTGCCTGTTATTTTTCTTATTGCAACATCATATCCATGTTTCTGAAAATACAAAGCAGTTCTCTTTTTTGCTAAGCGGTACATGACATGTAATCGTATGATTCTTACTCTTGATAGATCTTGAAAAGCCCTCTTGAAGACGGCAGTCAAAAGCAGGGGGGGAGGCTGATTCCTCTTCTGTTTTCATACCAACTTGTTTTCTCCTTGTCATCCCTCCCACCATTGCTTTCCATCCTGCAGGGTGAGGAGATATGGGGGTCTTCCCTTCACAGGTGGGAAAGCAAGTGTGGTATGTGTGTGATTTTCAGTAGACAGATGGCAAGAAGGGAAGGGGTTAAACAGGCCCTCCCCCTGTACTCCCTCTGATCTTAATTGGACTTCCAAGGCGGCTTTTCATTTTAAAAAATCTTAAGTACTAGCAGGCCCAACGCATAGCAAAGGACATACGTTGTTGTTTTTTGCTCCTAGTGGGAATGAGCTACTCTGGGGACTGGAGATTCACCCTGTCCCATGGTCTGACCATTGTCTCCTCAAGGCATGGGTGAATATGGCACCGACACGCTGCAAGAGGAAAGGGGTTGGTGAAAATGGTCCTCCCACAGAGATTAATAGATCCGTCTGGCCTCCAGGATGGCTGGGGTGACTAAGATCCCAGCTGCTGGCCTTGTTGAGACCATGGTGGAAGCCTGGAATGAAAAGCTCTGGAAGCCATCAACATGGCGGCCAGCTGTTGACCTCAACGGCCTTGAGTCCCTGTGAGAAATGAAAATAAATAAAAACGAATAAACTTTCAGGAGAAAGAATTACCCGATATGTCACATGTTGCTTGGCCTTAAGGGAAAGTACTGGCAAGGCAGAAAGTCTCTCTGACATCCTTCACAAAATCTGGATAGAAGGATGACTTTTAATGATAACGACAGGGCGCACACAAAAGCATGTAACTTATTCGCCGAGAGGAGTCAGTGAGGTGGAGGCAATGGATTCAGGACAGACAAAAGGAAATACTTCTTTCCTGAACAAGTAACTATTGTGGAATCCACTGCCTGTCCAGGATATAGTGATGACCAGAGGCATGGATGGCTTTAAAAGGGGGTTGGAATCATGGGAGAGAGGTCCATCAATGGCTACTGGCCACGATGACTGAAGGGAACCTCCACAGTCACAGGCAGCAAACCTCTGGATACTAGTACAAGGCGGCAACATCGGGGAAAGACCTTGGCCTCTGAGTGCTATTTGTTGCCCCCCCCCCCCGGGGTTCTGGTTGGCCCCCGTGGGGGTGTGAGACAGGATGCTGGACTGGATGGATTGCTGGTCTGACCCAGCAGGGCTCTTCTTATGCTCTCATGAGGCAGGTGCCTTACTGTTTT